GTTGCAAGGCGCTTGTTCTTTTATATGAGCGCGTGTGCTTCGCAGCTGTTCGGCTGTGAATATACACATACTACAGATTATTTTAATAAATATTTTAGTGCGGGCTGCTGGCGGAAACAATTTTGAACAAATTTCATATGAGCAAAAGTTGTAAACAAGCAGCAAACGTCAGATAACATATTAAAATATTCCTTGGGGGCAACATGGGGCGTATGCGCAACATTCGCAGGATCTCTGCCCGTAGCCAGAGCCAAAGCTGTAGCTAAAGCTGTAGCTAAAGCTGTAGCTAAAGCTGTAGCTAAAGCTGGAAGCTGCACTTTATTTAAGCAAATGCTGCTGGCAGTGCGTCAGCTTGATAGACAGACAGTCGGACAGTCGGACGGTCGGACAGACAGACAGGCAGCCACATAGCGAGGCAGACAAGCGAGCAGGCAACAGCAGCGCCTGCTGCCAGTCAAAAGGAGAAGGTAGCCCAGGCAACTGGTTGCCCAGGAGCAGCACGGCGAATGGACAACTGGCAGTTGGTGTTGCACTTGTCTTGCCGCTATGTTGCACAGCTCGAATACGAGCGAAAGTCAGTTGGCTACGCACAGGTAGCACAGGAACAGCAACAGGAACAACAGCAACAACTACATTCTGTTTCCTGCTCAACTGAACTCAGCTTGGCTCACCCTCACCCTAGGCTCACCTCGCCCTCGTCATGGCTGAGCTCACTTATAGCATTTGGTCTATTCCGCACATGCAACGTGCTTATGTATGTGTGCGTGTGTGTGTAGCCTACTTTATGCACCAAAATGTTGCTCAGAGTCACCTACATTCTCGGCTGATATTATTTTTTATTTTTTTTTTGCTGTTTGCCATTTTTGCCCTTTTGCATGTATTTCAAATGACGCATTGTTCGCATGTTCACATTATATCGTGCTATATATATATATATATGGATATGTATATACATATGTGTACATCTGTGTGCTGCGTGTTTAATTCGCTAAAAAATTTGCAAAATGTTGCAAACTGTGCGGCAGCAACAGCAATACACAGCCACAAAATTGAAGTGAATTGCGCGCATTGTTCATGGTTTCGTTTTTGTAAGCCTCACACACACACACTCTCACTCACACACGCACACACACACTAATGCTCTTGCGTGTGTTATATTTGCTTAGCTCTATATGGCGTCAACATATCCGAGCTCAAAAAAATACTCCGCCAAATTTTGTAGACATTCGAACTGGTCTTTAGCTTATCAGGCCTGGCAGATAAGATATAGAAATTTGAACAGTTAGTCGATTTATACATAATTCTCCGATCCATTATGTCACAGAGCGGAAATTGGGGCTAAAGTTGGAGCCGTCGCTCGAACATTTCCGATTTGAATAACAACAATAAAGAAATATATAACAAAAAAAAAAAAAAACAGATACGAAATGTTGACCGTTGCCCTGACATGGAACGCCTTGATTTATCATCTTGTGGCAACAACAGAGCCTGCAAGAGGAAGCGCTAATTGTGCACATGTTGCAGTTGCACATGCTGGCAACACACACACGCACACAGCAACACATTCGCATTGGCCTAATTTTGGAAATCGGGATCTTTATCGCTACGCCGCAATACTCGTAACTCGTAACTTGTAACTCGCGACTCGTAACTTGCAACGCGCAACGCTCAACTTGCAACTTGCAACTTGCAGTCCGTTTCGTCCCCTTTGGCACCGCTGCAGACGGAGGACAGAGCGAACAATGTAAATATACGAGACGCAATTGCTGCAGGATGGGCCGGCCAAAGTGGAAACGCGAAACGAAGTCGCATAAAACGGAAAGTGCAGCAAATTGTGGCAGCTGCAACATCAATTTTTTTTTCCTTTTATTTTTTTTTTCTCGCTCTCTTTCAGTTTCCTTGCCTTGCGCATTCGCCGATCTTAACTCGACGTCAGGTTCTGGTGCTGGCCATTGGCCTTTTACCGTTCGTTTGAGGCGCTTTTTATTTGATGGCCATTGCCTGACTAATGCGAGTTGTTGTTGCCACTGAAATTGCGGCACGCAAATTGTAACCGACAACATAATCAGGCTTTAATTGTTCTTCGCGGCAACAATGTCCGACGGCCACAAAAAATTGAAAGATGTCTTAAGTTTCCCAACCAATCAACTCAACTAGTGTCAACAAATTAGAAACCCCGAGGGTATTTATGTAAATTCGTGGAATTGCCCAGAGATGTTAGACTTGGGAATGTTTACTTACTAATGGATATCTTGAAACAATATTTATCAGACTTCCTGAAAGATGTAAAACATACTTAGGTCTCATACTAAAGTTTTCCGCTCGTTTTCCGATCTTATTCGTGGATTATTCGAAATTGCTGAAAACGCATTTATTAGTTTATTAAGAATAACTTTAAAAAAAAGTTTAAAGACAATCAGACTAACTTTAAACTTCCCCACTTTCCACCCTGTGCGGGGGATAAGTCGAAAAGTGTGAAACAAAGTACCACATGTTGTGTAAATCACAGCTCTACCGAAGTCCCTAAAATGCTTCTCTATTTTATAGACCCAAAACATATTTAGATATAAGTTTTCTTGTCGAATATTGTTTACATTTAGCCAAGGTAGATCTGGCCAAGGGCAAGTTCGTAGGCACTTCAACACCTCAAGCAACTTCCTATAGAGTGCACACACACACACACACACACACACACACGAGCAGGCCCATTGAACTTTGTGAAGCGCAACGAAATGTTGGCAGGTTGCAAAGAGGCAAAAAGCAAAAAGTCAAAAGGCAACGGCAAAGGACGCGCAAAAAAATGTACACCTGTGCTGTTTTTTATGAGAACAAAATACAAAATACAAAAGAGACAAACAGAACAACAGCAAAAAAAAATGCGAGTAACTGCGAAAAAAAAAATAAAAATGGCGAAAAAAGCAAGAAAATGACAACAGCGACAGCAACTGAAAAACGCAGCAAGTGTGTGTGTGTGTGTGTGTGTGTGTGTGTGTGTGTGCGGCAGCTCTTACAAAGCCAGAGCATAACTTACAAGCAGCAGCAACAACGACCAACGGCAATAAAAAGCCAGAAGTGAGTGTCCTTTACATTTTTTTCTGTTCTTTTTTTTCTGCCATTGCTGCTTCCTGCCAGCGCGGACTTGGACCTGGCCAACGCTCATTATATAGTCAAAGACCATAATTATGTGTTGAAGTTTGTAGATGTTTTAAGTGAGTGAGCCGAGCCGAAGCAGCAGCAAAAAAAGGCCGAAGAATAACGATAATGGTAGCGAAAACAAAAAAAAACGAACTGGCAAAAGTGGCAACCAAATACAGTTTCCTTGTAAAGCCATTTAACTTGACCAGCAATAGGTCTAAGCTAGGATAAGAATAAGCACATAACAGGGATTTAACATTTAGTCTAAATTTGTTTATCTCTGTAGTAGTTAGAATCTAAGCAAGCCGTTAACATTTTGATTTGCTGTTAACTATACATGATAATGCTACGCAGTAGATAATAGACAACATAACAGAGCTGCACAATATTGGCGAGAGACTAACTATCTGTTAACATTTACATTAACATTTTTGTTAACTTTACATGATTATGCTAGGCAGTAGACAACAGACCACAGAGCTAACAGAGCTGTAGAATATTAGCGAGAATCTATAACCGCTTACTACTTACATTAACATTTTGATTTGCTTAAAACTTAACTTTAGCTTTACACGATTATGATATGTCTAGAGACCAGACAACATAACAGAATTGTAGAATATTGGCGAGAAACTATCTGTCTGACTGACTTTTCTAGGCAGTTTATACAACTTCAGAGTTGTCTAATAAATTAAATTCAAGTTAATAATTATTCTCTGCTTTATTCTATTACAGATTTTTAACCAAAGGATTTGAGGAAACCATCAACAAGCATTTTGGCATATGAAATTGAAAGTGAAATTTCATTTCGGCTCATAATCAAAATTTCAATTTGAATTCAAACCAAAAAACAAAACAAAACAAACAAAAAATGCATTAAAATTAAAAAAAAGAAATTTAAACTACATTAAATGAATATTAATATTATTAACATATAAAACATAACGGAATAATGTTTAATTAATTTGTAAGGTAACCAACAAACAAACAAACGGAAGACAAAGATTTTTAAAATTAAGCCTAACATATTAAGTAATATTATATTGCTAAACGCTATATGAAAAACATATTCTATAAAGCTGCAACTATTTTTTATATATATAAACATATTAACAAAAAAATCAACAACAACAAAGAAAAGCAAATCAAATTTAAAGCAAAAACAAGAGTACAAAATTCATAAGCATCAATTTACAAAAATCAAATATTAAACAAAAAAATATCACAAAATATCAACAAGCTTAATATTCAACAACAACAAAAAAACGTATATATAAATGAATTAATAATGAAGTAATTAAACAAACAACGCATACAAAATACAAATTTACAAATTACAAATTACAAATTTACAAATTTTTCTAACAAGTCGAAGTCTGACACACAACCACAGCACAAGAAAAAAAGAAAAACAACAAGAGAAAAAGTAAAGTAAAAGTTAAAGTTACAAATTTAAGCAACAATTAGCAAATATTAATAAATAAATACAAGTTTTTGCATAGCTGCCGTTTACAACAAGAACAACAACAACAACAACAACAAAAAGCATCTATAACCACGAAAAAAGTACAAAACATTTTGAATTTTCAACTTACAAATTTTTAATAACAATTTAATAGTAGCACTTTTACAAAAAATAATAAATTTAAAAAATACTAAAAAATAAAAGCAACAAAATAAGCATATATTTATATAAACTCTAAGCCAGAATTAATATTTAAAACAAATTTACAAACTAAACTCAACAAAAAGCACAAAACACGCAAAACCCGTGAGTTCAAAGTTCAAAATACAAATATAAAACAAAAAAAAAAACACAAATATTACGTAAAAACATAACGAAGAAAAACTACCTCAAGAGAGCAGTGAGCGTGTACAAAAAAAAGTAATAATAATAATAATAATAATAACATAAGCACAAACAAACTGTTTATATGCTTGTGTACAAAATATATACATATATCTATATTTGAACTCTGCAAACATCCCCGCACCTCCTTCCACCCAAGAAGACAAACCCGCGCAGCGCAGTGGCATATGAGCTGCGCAGCCATGCGAGCCTGCGGACTTAAATGGCGTCTACAATAATCGCACAGAGCAGCACAGGCGGCCCCGTCGATCCGGCATCGGCAGCTAACGGCAGCGCCAGCAGCAACAACACCCTGCCAGCAATATCGGCAACAGTCGCCTCGGCAGCTGCCGATCTGCACAATACGCATCTCAATCAGCTGAGCAGCCTCAGTCAGCACTATACGTCGCCCTATCATCATCATCACTACCAGCAACAGCAACAGCAGCAGCAGCAGCAACAGCAACAGCATCAGCAGCAACATCTACAGCAGCAACATCACCAACACTACCAGCAACAGCAGCAGCAGCAGCAGCAGTCGCAGGCGGAGCAACATCCTCAGCATTGGGATTACTATGCGCGTCAGCAACCCGCCGCGCCCGCCAACAATAGCAACAGCAACAGCAGCGGCAACAACAACAGCGGCAACAATAATAGCAGCAGCAACGCCAACGGCAGCAACAGTGACAACAACAACAGCAACAATACAAATGTTGCAACACCTTTGGGCAGCAGCAGCAGCAGCAATGCTAATGGTCCTGCTGCCAGTGGCAACAATGGCCACGGCCACGGCCACGCCCATAATCAGCACGTCCACGGAGGACATAGTGATGCCAACAATGCCGTTGCTGCTGCCGCCGCCGCCGCCGCCGCCGTCGCAGCAGCAGTAGGCGCCAACGGCAACAACGCCAACAACTCCAACTCAAACTCAAACTCGAACGGCAGCTATACACGTCCCTGGGAAATGGAGTCCAAGGACAGCGTGCCGCCCCAGAACCAGCCACAGACGCAGCCGAAGAGCGGCTTTGAGCCCTTCTCAAAGCTGCCCTCATTCCAGAGTCAATTTCATGGCTACAACGATCAGCTAATGCCCGATGGCACGCCCATGCCCATGCCGATGCCCATAACAGCAGCGGCCGCAGCAGCAGCAGCCGCCGCCGCTGCCGCTGGAGCTGCCAGTGCCAGTGGCACAGCCGGGATGAGCTCGCTCCAAACGGTGGCCATGTCGCCGGCCAGCATCTCGGTCAGTTCGCCCGGAATGATGAGCGTGGGCTCGCCGCTGACCCAGCTGCCGGGCATGCAGACCAGCATAACGCCGCCCTCGGGCAGCTTTACTCCGTTGGGCGCACCACCGCCGCCGCCGAATGCATTTCATCACATGCATTCACATCATCGGGTGGCCGGAGCCGGAGTCGGAGCCGGTGCGTATCCGCTGATGCCGGCGGCAACAGCCGCATTTGGCGACCTACAGCTGTATCAGCCGCTGGCGCCAGGCTTTGCGCCGCTCATCAAGAAGGAGCCGGTGGACGCGGCTGGCGGCGACTATGACTTGCTAACGGGCAGCATGCTGCTCAAGAAGGAGGACTTTGATCTCAGCAACAGCAACACGCATCTGTCGCAGCAACAGCAGCAGCAGCAACAGCAGCAGCTGCAGCTGCAGCAGCAGCAACATGGGCACACACATCCCGGCCTGGGCGTGGCTGTGGGCATGCATACGCCCACATCGTACGACGGCAACAACAGCAACAGCTATCCGCATGCCGCCAGCAGCAGCGGCAGCCACACGCCGCACACGACGCAGCCGCTGACGCCGACGCCAACAACAACGACGCCCCTCAAGGTGGAGAAGCTGCTGCAGTCGCCCATAGCGCGGCTGGATGCGCGCAAAAAGGAGCGCCGGAAACAGCGGCCCAATTCGCTCGAGTCCAGCGCCGAGAGTGAGGCCAGCGGCATGGACGTTGATCCCAGCGGCGGCAATCCCGGACAGGTGGATGCCGTTTCCAGCACGGCCAACTTCAAGAGCCCGCTGAGCGCCCTCGGCTTGGGCGACAGCAGCGATGCGAATGCCAATGGATGCGACAAGCAGGTAAGTTCAGCTTAATGGTGCGTCCCGGCGATAACTGGCAAACGCTGCGAATAATAGGAACACCCACCCACCATGACCTATCACCAACACCAACAACGCCAACACCAACAATACCAACCCAATGCCAACAACCACCACTCCACCAACAACTCCTTCTCTTCTTCCGCCTCTGTTTTGCAGTCGAAGAAGAAGCGCAAGCGCTGCGGCGAATGCGTCGGCTGCCAGCGCAAGGATAACTGCGGCGAGTGCGCCCCCTGCCGCAACGACAAGAGCCATCAGATCTGCAAGCAGCGACGCTGCGAGAAGCTCACCGAGAAGAAGGTAAGTCTACATATTCACACATTCATGCATGTATTCGACATGGCCAATCGGCCATTCCATTCAGTTTTCCCGCGATTCCCAGGCTCAGGTTCAGGTTCAAGCTCGGGCTCTGGGTTGAGGCCCTGGGCCTGGCTCAGGTCTACGAGCATCCATTCAAAAAAGTTACTCAATGAAATCGACGCACACTTGTGCATCTGCTCAACGGCAACAGCATGATCAACGGTGCCTGGACCAGGCACAGTGGTTAAAATCAACGATCATATCATAAGATATGATATTTCAAGATATTTGTTAAATCAACTATAATATCAGGTTTCGGGCATATAATATACACATTTACAAACATTTTTGGGTTATTGTAAATCTTTTGGATCTCCAACCTTGAACATATCTTAGATATTCGAGAGAGAGAATCTATCATATTCATATTCATATTCATTATCATATTCAGGCCTCAAAATTATCTATATTTGCATTCAAAGATAAAAATTTAACAATTAAAAAAAACCGACCCATTTTCTCGAGTAACCGTTCTTGGAGTCTCGTCTAGTACAAAAAACACCCAACCTCACACCTTTTCACTTCCCAACACTGTAAACCAAAGGGTTGCAGGTCGAGTGGGTTGAGCTAACCAAACTTAAATCAAAGATATTATCAATTATTTCCTTGTTATTTGAAAAACTATTAATGCTGAAAATTCATAATTTTCATTTCATTTTATAAACAAGCAAATATTTGTTCGTATGGTTCGTTTTGTGGTGGTTCCACTGTTCCACTGGTGGTTGCCAGTGCAAACTGGTTTCCTCTCCGTCGCTCGCGGCCACGCGAGTTCGCGCGGTCTTGCGCTCCAGCGGTCAGTCACTCAAGATTTATGTCAGCACAACAGATGTTCCAGTCGCAGCCAGTGCAAATTAATGCGCCCATCCTCTGTCCTCTCTGTTCAACGTCCAAATGCATTCAACTGTCTCCGCCTCCACTTTCGCCTCCGCCGCGCCCTGTGCCTGGGCCGACGTTTAACTAGTAACCTACAAGCTCGTGTGTGTTAGTGTGCCCTTGTATGTGTGTGTGTGTGTGTGTGTTTAAGTACTTGCGTACGTGCACTTGAGTGCATTTACAGCATTCGCGTATCCTTAAGCTCGCCAGCTTCCCAGGCAGCTGAGGCATTCAGGTTGCATTGCGTTTCGAAATCACTTAAGAGCCTAGCCGCAGGCTGCGCATATCCTTAAAGAAAATCAGGTTACACACGCAAATGAATCTGCATCTGAAACTGGGCCCAGGCGGATCCATTTTGGGATCTCAAGTGGTGGTTATGCGATGTCTTCATATGAGCTGCTTGACAAGTTCATTGGCCGAGCACGCCGAGTGCAGGCGAGTTTCAAAGGACTGTGGAAGGACTAACGAATTCTTTGTTGTTGTTTTTTAGAACGAAAAAATTCGGATGTTTTAAAATCGATTTGCAATTCTATATGATATATCTGTCCTGCTCTAACAATTTGTATTTACCGAAGCCATAATTAAGGTCATGTCCACAGACGGATTCGCTTCCATTTGAACGCGCTCGTACGTTTTAAAATCAAACGTGGAAGTGGAAACAGACAAGAAGTAGGAATAGCAACAACAGCAATGCGAATATGCCGTATGAAATAAAACAACAATAAAAACGATAATAACGAAACGAGGCAACAGCAACAGCAAGCAGCAATAACAACAACAGCTACAACAAAAGAAAAGCAAACGTCGTTCGCAGCCGCTGCCGCCTGCAGGAGCAGATGTTCACAATATACATATACAAACGCTGCTCGCACACAAACTTACACACACATACAGAGTCAGACGAAGCGACAGACACAAATAAATAAGCAACTGAGCGCAACGTTTTGTCTCGCTGCCACGATCAACGCCGGCAGCGAAAGCAACAGCAACGCGCGCAGCGCTGCTTGCTGCGGCAGCAAACAGGAAACCGAAAAAGAAACGAGCACATCGAAACAGCCGGCATGCGCGAGAGCGAGACAGCAGACAAGATAGTTAGGAGAGCGGAGACAGCGCGCGAGACTGGTCACACAATTAAGAAGGAGGTTGACAGGAGAACGCGGACAGCGCTGCGCCTGCGCCTGCACCAAGCGTCACAAAAGGTTGTCAAACAAGAAAATGGCACGCAAAGAGACGAAGCTGTCCGCTATCTCTTGCCGGCCCTGCCCCTGTCTCTGCGCCCGTTTCTGCTCCCAATGACGACACACATAGATAAAGTTGTAAATTTTGCAGTCGCTGCGCCATCAGTTGACATGTCAATATATACTCACACACACACGCACGCACGCACACACACATGCATAAGTTGTAGACGGGGCAGCCATGGTTGTTGGCAGCTCTTCCTTCCGCGCTTGCCACACAATTGACGCTTTATTTTATATCTTCCTCTGCTTTATCATCATCATTATTATTGCTGCTGTCCACCACCACGCGCCCCGCTACGCATGTCCCATGCGTCGCCCGCCGCTTGGGAGGCGACTGCAAAAACAATACGCAAGACACTGCACAACAAAATTTTAATTATTGTTTATATTTGCACACATATGAACTAACAGAAATCTTGTCTGAGAAAATAATCGAAGCCTTGAGAGCAGAGCGCATTGCGATGTATACTTTTATGTTTTCAATGAAATCTTCATCATTTGTTTCTTAAATCAGGGAAATAATCGTTGTTCAAGTCAAAGTTTTCTCTTGTTGTACGGTGTTTGGGTATTCAATTTGGCAATTAAATGTAGCTTTTGATTAAACACATGTTTACGTTCCTGTTCTACAAGGCTATTCTACAACATAATCTTCTTTTACTTAAGATTGAAGCTTTACAAGCTATGTACCTAAACACCTCGTATGTTGTGTAGTGTACGCCGCTGGTCTCCAAATTGTTGTTTCACAGTGTTAATATGTACACAGACATATTTATAATAATAATAATATTGTCGTCTTGATTCTTTTGTTTCGCGGATGTTCTGTTCCCATCGCTGGCTACAGCTGGTTGGTTGGCCATATTTTCGGCATATTGTTGTGATTACATATCGATTGTTGTTGTTGTTTGTTACTTGTTGTTGTTGAATCGAATGCGGATCAATGCACTTCTGACTTATTGCTGCGGTATCTGTGCAGCTCTTGTAATTCGATATGCGCCTTTTGCTGTCAGTTTGGCGAGTTTTTCAGTTTCGGTTTTCGGTTTCTGGGCGAATGGGCAGCTGGTCACACTCCAACCGGGCCCTCGAATGGAGCTCGTTGTCTGTTTTTTACTTTCACAAATCAGGTCCGAGAAAAAATAAAAATAAAAAATAAAATGCCCGAAGCACAAGTCATTAACTTGGCTATTTGAATTGAGGGATGCTTCCTGTCGCAGTTCCTTTTGGCGTGTTCCTTTGCTAGCCTTAAATATGCAGTTTTCTTAGGAATTTTCTCATTAAAACGCTTTTTTCATTTCGCATTTTCTGTTCTTCCTTCTTTTTTTTTTTTGGTCGTCAAACGACTGGCAAATAAGGCAAATCAACAACAACAACCAAAAAAAAAAAAAGAAGAGCAAATATTAAAAGGCGTCTGGTCTAAAGAAAGTCGCCAAAAGCAACTCCCCCAAAAGGCGGCAACGGAACGCGAGTCCAAAGGCAACCTTTGAGGGGCTTTGGTTTGGGTGATTGACTTCGTGGTGCCTTGGGTGCGGCTGGTGGACTTTTTCGCATTGTACTTGCCCAAGACTCTTTCAATTTCACTTTTGTGGCCGCCCGCTGTTGCCCCGCCTGCTCCGGCAGTTGGCAACTTCATCAAACTAAATGCACTCCACTAAACTAACCCTAGCTCTAAGCCAGCCCGAACAGCTTAAAGGTTTCACTTCATGCATACCAAATGCGTGCGTTTACAAAATGCATGCGAGCCATGAAAGTATCTCGCACTAAGTACGCGCCACATATCCAGCAACAGCAACAACAACAACAACAACAACAACAACAACAACAACAACAACAACAACGGCAACCAGCACGTGCAACCACGGGGAGTGCAATGCTCCTACTTGAGCACACACCGTTCGTGACATACTCCCAGCACCAGGACTCGCCCTCGTCCTCGTCCTCATTGCTGCCTCAGGCCTCTGGCACACATCCACTCGCAGGCCCAGCTCCCATATTGGCACGTTGGCTTGCAAACTCCAGGAAAACAGGATAACGTACACATACACACACACGCAGAGAGCGACACACTTGATACTTGAGCAAATGTTGTTGTTGATGATGAGCTTCTTTTTTGAGCTTCATTATCGTCGATGTGTGCATGTGTGTGTGTGTGTGTGTGTATTAGTATCTGTGTTGTGCAATCTGATATTATGTCGTGGTCTTGTGCTTGCTCTTGCCTCGCTTCATGCATATCCAGTTGCAAGTTGCCTCTCTCTCTCTCTCTCTCTCACCCCTCACTCCCTCTCCACTCTCTCTTTCTCTATAGATAAGTAAAACTCTGTTCTATTTCTTTTTTGCAAATTTCTGGCAGTTTTCAGCAATTTTTGCAGCTATAATTGACGCTTCTGGCCAGGTGCTCTTCAGTCCCACAATATTGCTTGAATCAGTCAATTTGTTGCTACAATACACACAACAACACACTCACACACACACGCGCAGAGAAGCATGCTCCTCGAGGCAGAGATAGAGAGTTCATTGCACCAAATGGAAAGACAAGCTCATGAGCCGCTGCGTCCAGTTGCAGGCTTTGTGTGTGCCACAAATCCGATTGAATTTTTGTTTTATTTCCTTTGCGTTGCTCCAAATGCATATTCATCTGTCGAATACACACACACACACACACACACACGCACACAGATAGAGACAAACATCTGCATTTGTTTCTCGGTTGCCTGCACATCTGCTCGCATTGTTCCTTTTATTTTTCCTGTTTTTCTTTACTGAGCCTCAGCCTGAGCTCCGGCTGCGACTGCTTTATCCTGCTCTCTAGGATTTACAACAAACGTGCCGTATTTCTGCTGCACTTACTTTACTCCATGCCCACTCTGACATATTCATATTTGATGCACGCACGCTTATAAGTAAATATCCCATGTGCATCAAGATATTAACATATATGATAGACAAAACTATTTGCCTGTTTGGCGAGTGGGGGACAGTGTAACTTTTAAGCAGCTTATGTCCAACTAAAAACCACAGTTTACCATATATGAGAGATATGCTCTATACGCACACAAATATGTATATATATTCATTTATATATATGAATTTATCCATCTCTCTGGCTCTGTATTTTCAAATTAAAACTCTATTTCATAAATGCCTGTCATTGGTCATATATAGATAGTATATGGTCCTTTTTTGTTATTTTCTCGTTGGATTATATTATTTTTAGTTGTCTCATTTAATTCGAATCGTTGCGAACGGCTCTGCACTCTCGAGTGTAGGTTGCTGCTGCTGTCATGACAGCCAATTAGAGGGTTTTATTTATATTAATGCACATGTTATAAAAAACTTTTTCGAGTGTAATTAAAACTGATTTTTTTCTCTCTGCATAAATATGCAGGTGTTTTTTTTATTGCGCTTAATTTTAATTACAAATTACATTTTTTATACCGTGCACACATGATTTTAATTTAAATACTTGTTTTCTATTTAATTGCAGGAACCCAAAGCCAAACCCGTATGTATTCACATTTGATACCATGTTTGTATATTATTTAACACATTCATTTGAATTTCATTTATAAACATACCTCAACCCATTTAAATTTACGTTACACATGCAAAGTATTTAATCAGAATTAGATAACACAATTAACAAGATAAGATAGTTCAGTTCCAAGAAGTTCGTGAAGTTTTATAGATATGCAAGGCATAATAATATGAATTGTGTGGCTCGAGGACTTATCAAGTTTATGCTTCGAGTTGTGTATAAATGAATTATAGCTAATTCTTTTTTATCAATTTTGTAAAAGAGGCTTTAGCTTAGGAATACCTTACTTATCATCAGCAAATTCCATACCCTGCTCCAGGCTAATAACCCTGAATTTACTTGTGCAGGAACCTTCAAAGCTTTGCTTAGTTAACTCTTTCAATCTTTTACAGATCATTTTCCGGATCACAGAATCTGTGTGAGATTTTTATATTACTTTTTTTTTTAAATAATTTCTTGAGTTATTTGACCTTGAGCATAATGTCTGAGGCGTGCGCCGAGTGCCCGAATGGACCCCTATAAAATATTATGCAAATAACTCTTTTTAGTTTCTCATTGTTTTCGGCCAATGTATCTATGTATCTGTTGAAGCTGCTGTCTATCTATGTGCTCTTCGCTTTGTGTGGCAGATTCTCTCTCTCTCTCTCATTTGGTTTTTTACCAGCACATTCTTTTCTTTTTTTTATCGGGCGCATAAATTAAATAATAAAACGATTATGTGTGTGTTGGTGCAATTCTATGCCTATATGCTGGAGTGTGTGTGTGTGTGTGTTGTCTGTCTGTGCAATTGAATGCTTTTGGGTTGTAGTTGCCTTTGTTGCTGTTGCTGTTGCTGTATTCATGAAAATGATTTGCTGCCGTTGCCTCGACGGCTGCATATGTACACGATGGTTGTTGATGGGCTGTTGCTGCTGCTGCTGCTGCTGGTGGTTGTTGATGACAATCATTCATTCGACTAGTCGAAACTGTGTGTATATACGTGTGCACATGTGTGCCCAGGCACATTTATATAAATCTGCGCTGATTATAATGCGTTGTTAAATTTTAATAAATAAATTTTCACATCCTTGTTAAGCGCACATTGAATGCGACAACAGCAGCGCGGCAATCGCGGCCGCGACCGCGAACAGCAAAAACAAGCCGTGCATTGATTAAAAGGCTAAAAACAGCCAGCGGAGCGCTAAATGCAAATGAATGTTACATAATTGTGCAAGCGACGCAACGCTGCGTATACTTAATGAAGAATTTGCATGGCAAACGGCAAACGGCAAACCTCAGCCAACACAAGGCTAAGCCCAGTGGCCAAGACGCCTCATGCCTTATCCTTGTAACTAGTTAAAGGACAAAAGTACCGCATTGTCTACTCTCTCTCACACACATACACACACTCACACACACACACAGAGGCGTGCGCGTGCACGCACACTAACGAGCAGAAAATGCGCCACTGCAATTTCACTTGGCGTTAAAAATTGCAGTGCAAATGATTTTCGCATTTGCTCATTTTAATGAGACTAACTGCAAGGAAAGCCAAAGACAAAAAAAAATAGAAGGAAGGGGCGTTAAACAGGGAGCACGATAATGAAGGCCAGGGGTTAGGTGGGTTGCAGGGTTGCAGGGGAGACTGCTGCAAACGAGGTTAACAAGCAGCAGCTGGCAGTAAATAGATATGCAATTAAGCATTCTGGTTATTGTTTATTAATAAACAACAACAATAGCAAGCGACAGCTCAAAGCCAAAAATAGCAAATACGCCCGCTAATTGCCGGGGCAACCAAGAAAGAGACAGCAAACGGCGAGAGAGAGAGAGAGAGAGAGAGAAAGATAATCGGACTGGCACGAAAAAGAGCGAAAATATTTTTCCGCTTGCGACCATGCGTTGCATTTCAAGGATACAGGATACAGAAACACACACACACACACACAGAAACATACACATTCACATATTAGCACATTTAACCCTTTTTACATTTCTATTTTTGAAGTGCATTTCGCCCTGCAAGCGGCGCATTTTACTGTCCGTTGGCTCAATTTAAATATCAACGATGCATGGCCGAAACGGTCAGGGCAACTGGCTTAAATACCCTGCAAAACAAGAGCGACAACCACATTGCATATCTATTTCAATAATTAGATATGTAACTGGCGGCAGAAGCAGCGAATTCACAGTGAATGCTCTCCATGACGGACAACTCCTATAACAGAACAAATTGACAGAGAATGTGAGGTGAAAGCTCTCATGACGAACAGTTCCTATAACATAACAAATAGATAGCGAATATGCAGGCAACGCTCCCATGATGGATAGTTCCTGTAACATAACGAATAGATATGTAACAGGCGACAGGGTCAGCGGACGTACAGTGAAATCTACCATGATAGACGGCTGCCATAACAAATTTTGTCTCCAAGAAATAGGAAATAGGATTTCTAGTCAATTAATAGTTATCTTTTTTGCAATTGGCTGTCCAGCTATAAGAATTTTCACTGTATAGAGCTCTAAGCAGCGCTTACTTTAAAGCATTTGCAAAAATATTGAAATTAACTTTGAACTCAAATAGTTATTTCGTTCCATGCCTGAACTTATTCACAACCAATTTTGGTGCGTGGCATCTTTCGGGTCGAACAGTTGCAAGTACATCAATTGTACTTGTTGGTTTTCTCGCAGTGTGTGTGTGTGTGCAAGGTGCAATTGCAGCGCATTTTTCAGCTTGACCGATTCGTTGAGAGTGCGACCTTTCGGTCTCTAGCAATGCGGCAACAAACCTGGCACCCCAGCAACCGAATGAAACGAAGCGTTTGTCAGCTAAACAGCAAAGGGGTTGTGCACATAGCTAAATAATAATACCACACACATGTGGACGGACACAAGTGTTGGCTGTTTCAGCTGTTAGCTTAGAGGGTCAGCAGGTTAGAGGTTACGTGGCGGGCGCCTAATTGCAACCAAAACTAAATAAGAGCTCAAATTAAGCCCATAAGGCAACAGACACACACACACGAATTCGGGGGGTTTCGTGTTGCCGCAAATCCCTTTAAGCGCCAAGTCAGCCCGAATCAGAATGAAAACAAATAAGAAAACGACATTTTCAATTTTCAAAAATGTTGCAGCTCCTTCCCGTCCCAGAAAACAAAAGAAGAAAAATCAAGAGAATATGAAAAAGCTGAAGTAAAAGTTTGCTCCCAAAGTGCCTATCAAGCAGCAGCAGCAACAACAACAATAACAACAACAACAATAATTTGGCATATCTTTTGATTGCATTTTGACAACAACAACAGCAACAACAACAAGAACGAGTACCAGGTTTTTGGCATATTGTTACAAAAACAGAGCCGCACTTTGAAATCGATTTTTGATTATTTTATGTTATCATTGCGTTTGCGACGTTGTTACGTTCCAGTTTATATACCCCGTAGCATATATGGTGTTTGGGCATAAGCGACTAAGAGTTACAAGCTAGAGTTAGCAGAGCCATAAATAATTCTTGTTGGTTCAGTTCACAGATTGACATTTATCTAATTTGGCCTGAGAACATAAGTGTTTGGGTAGCCAGTTGTACATACATCTTTAAGCTGAGTCTTGCTTAAACAAGATATGCATTTCTTTAAGCCAAACCATTTTTGATTGTTTAGTTTAGGTTGTAGTTGAGTTTTGGTTGCAGCTTGGCTAGTTCCTTAAAAATCTTATAATACATTGCAACTTTACGCTTAAGCCGATTCAGTTCTAGCCCGGTTTACAGCCTTAATTTGAATACCTTTCAGTCAGCCGAATGTCAATATATATTAAGTGGTCTCTCTTTTCTTGTAATTCTAGAAAAAAACTTTATTTGTCTATCATATTCATCAACTCGTAGAATTTTCTAGATTTTGTTAGTCCTTACCCTTTACATATAGTTAGAATATAATATGCCATGCATAGCACAACCCCAACCAGATATTCTCTACCCTTAAACTTCTATCACTTTATGCCACAATGCTTAGCCGTCTTTCTATAGGATATCCTAATATTCAACATTGCTTTTCGTTTATTTTTGCTTTTCCTGTGAGCCCTCGCACTGTTGTAAATTCAATTTAATTTTCTTAAATAATATTTGAGACAATTTCGCATGCATTACGCGTTGAGTTTGGAATACAATTTTTGTATTTTCCGCCAGTATATTTTCTCATGTTTACTTTCAATAACTTGCGTGGGGCTGGGGCGGGGCTACATGGGTGCAGGGGAACTGAGGGGTACAAGGGCAGCGGCTGTTACTCACGCCATATTCGATTCCACGCCTGAACCTGACAACAAACAAACAACAACGACAACAACAACAAAAAAAGACAGCCAGAAGAAAATTTCGTGTTGTTTTTCCTATTTATTTTTATTTATAGCTGAGAGCCTGTTCTCTTTTTTTTTGTATTTCGCGGCTTTTGTTTGTCGGCGCAAATTGAAAACATAATTGAAACAATAAATTCGATGCGCTCTGCCAGCGCGAATATCTCTTCCAGCGAAAGAGTTGCGGGCCATTTCCATTTCCATTTTCAATTCCAATCAGCGCTGTAACGTGTTTGCCAAACTAGGAAATTAGCTGGCAATACATTTTTCCAATACATTTCACGCGCTTCAGCCAACTTCTGGCTGAGAGCGAAAAAAAAGAAGAAAATCAATTTAATTTTCTACGATTTTTTCTTACTTTTTCTGCTGTATTTTGACTTTGAGTCCAACTAAAAGTTGTGCCTGCCTGGTCGTGGTCCTGGCCCTGGTCCTGCTTAAGTCCTTGGCTTGGGTGCCGGGCAACGCAGTCAAACAAGTCAAGTCATTTACTAAAGTACGAAAGTCCTGGCGTGCATAAACATCCCTTAACGGGCGCTGCTGCTGCTCCTCCTGCTGCTCTGTGGGGGTGGTTTAGAGCAAAGAGCACGGGCATAAAAACGAAGAAAGCTGCAAAAAAAAAATTATAAAGAAATGTTTTCAAAAAGGCAGCAACA